GTTTTGTTTTTTACAAATTGTTGGGAATTCTTTTCTTTGTTTCGTTTTGTCATTCTGATCACAGATTAAGAGGAACCATGCGGTTATGTTGTTGAGAGCATAGACGGGAAATTGATTGGAATAAATGACCCAGTAAATTGCTGCTGCACATGGTGACTCAAGCGAACTGTTGCTGCCCTCTTGTGCCTCGCTGCTCCCTTCGTCTTCCTTTCCCCTGCTCCCTCTCCCGCCACTGTTCTCCTTTTTCAGTACGCGATTGCCTCGGTGTCACCACTTTTGTTGAAACCCTCGTTGAGTGATGATTTTTGTCATCACCTGCGCACAGGTGCGATGGTACTCTTTTTGCGATTTTGGGTGACCCCTTGCTGACCGTGTGAAAGTTGAGAATCAAAAAAAAAATGGAAAAAGTAATTGGGAATTCATACATTTTGGTCCCTGCAAGTAGCAGTGATTTCGCTTCCTGCATTTCACCTTTCTGAAAAATGATATGTGCCACCGGGTACGTCTTCCTGTTGCTGTTGAGTTGCAGTAGAATTGTTTAATGTATCTCTTTGAAATGCCTCCATCGATGCTGTATATCTGTCATAACAGTCCCCCCACTGATCAAATGTTTTGTCATTATTGCGGGGAAATGCATCGAAACTGCTTTCAACAGCGATACTGTAACTGTATGCACATTAGAGTGATGAATTTCGAACAGAACGTGTTTGGCGGGTGAAGTTTGGTAACGGTGGCGTGGTGAATGCATGTTATTGTAAAATGAAATGGAATAAATTTGCTAATAGTGTCAATTTTCTGTCGTACTTTTGTTCCGCGCAAAATTCTTACTTTCTTGATATTGTTCGTGAGTTTTTGTTCGGCGTTGAGCTTCGCCAAGCCAAGAGATGTACTCAAACTTGTCAATTTATCAGTTAGATGCGATGCTAGCCGAGAGTTTTGTGAAGATTGCTTGAAATTATTGTTTGTAAATTTGTTTGGACGATAAGTGTCTGCTGCGTAAGTATGTAATTGTATCGATTTAAGCACGTAGGTCTGTTGCAGCACTCACAAAGACTGATTTCGTGGTATGGGAAGTCTGGATGGCACCACGGGCGTCGCAGCATCCCTGCAGCCGGAAGCTGTCGACAAAGAGCAAGTTTTGCAATGGATTTTGGATCTGAGTGATTCGTCGAAACGAGAACAGGCGCTACTAGAACTGAGGTACGTGGTTGGACTGGTGTCCTAACGGACGTGTTTTTTTCCTCGTCCTGCTTTTCCCGTTTTTCTCTCATGCTCTTTGCTGTTTTTGTGTCTTCAGAGTTGTTCTGTTTAAGTCAGAATCACTCTACTGTGCTTGCTCCTGGTGACTCATTCTCCGTTTTTTTTTTTTTTTTTTTAAACAAATATCGGTCATACCATGAAATCAGTTTGGGAATGCTATCTGCGATAAGAACTGTTTTCGGCTTGCAAAAAGATTGGATAGATGCGGAAATGCGTGATGCTTTTTATGCATTTTTTGCAGCTATGCAAAAATGCATATTGACAAGAGGTTGTCTCTATGTCCGTGTGCCTGCGTGTGCGTCTGTCCCGATTTTTCATCTCAAGACCTGTAAAAGCCGCAGGGTTGAAATGGATGCCATTACCTGCGTGGTACCCGCGTACGGGCCCGCCAAAATTCGAGTAAATTCATAACTCGAGGATC